CTCCAGCAGCTTAAGAGGCTGGTTGCGTGGGAGCCACGTGGATTGTTTCATATGAGGCCAAACAGCCTCTTATCGTAAGCTTTTCTAAAAAGAACCATTGCTCACATGTTTTGGGAGGCCGGGGAGGGTTTACAGGGTTTCTCAGGACTTTCTCCCCTCCCATTTCTTACCAAGCACCAGTTCTCAGGCTGGAAGGTTTCCTGCTTCCCAGGTTCAGGGTCAAAAAACCCTCCCCATGAGTCACCTGTTGTCACCATCCAAAAAGGCAGAGAAACTGATGTTCAAGATAGCTTTTCCAGATACTATTTTAACAAGGTCTAAATGTTCTTTTTTTTTGAAAGTTTTATCTCTGTCCCTTTATTAATATTCATTTAAAAGTTATTCTTTGGCCTTGCCTTTCACACCAGTTTGTCCCACTAGAAGGCAAACATTTTTCAGATGAGATTCACCCCTCATTTGCAAGGTCTCTTTCCCATCCACCAGAGGAAATAAGGACTTTTCCCCTCTTCTCCCTTTCTGTGACAACTGGAGAAAGAAAAAAATCTAGGGGAATAGCAAATAAGCAGAGAGAAGAACACATGCCCCAGGCTTCCCAAATCACAGCTTTCCAAAGCACACTCGTTTGAAAGAAGGCCATGAAACAAGGATTTTGAAGGGCTCTGTTTAACCACTGAGCATGGGTAAAAAAATCCACACTCAAAAGACCAGCCCTGAACTATTAGGCATTACTGGGACTATGTTCAAACATACTACTCTTATCCCTGTTAATGCCCCCAACCTACTATTTTGGGGGTAAAAACGAATATGTTATATCTTCCTTTTCTTTAACCACCCCTCAACTCTGTGTCTGGTCTTAACCTCGTGCAATCTTTCTCTTTTCCCAATTCCCTGCTGAGCAGCTCTTCCCTCTGACTGACAGTTTACTGCTTTATGCCTCGAGGTCATTAAATCTTCTGCTGCCCCAAGTCACGACCTATCACAGTCTATGGAAAAAAAAACAAACAACCACAAAACAACAACAATAAAAAAAACCCCATAAAATCCAAAACAGCAACAACAACAACAAAAAGATTCATTTACAAAGGCAGGGTTTGACATATTTTCTGGCCGTTGGCTCTTTCTGGAAGGGGGCAAGCTGGGACTTAATTTTGAGTATCATTTCTAAAGATCAAATATAAACAAAGTCCTGTACTGCCGTCCTGTAGAAAACCAAAAGCCTCACCAGTGGGATAAGGATGCCTGGGCATATACTGTTTATAGAAATTTAGATAAGATATTATCCAGTTTAATAAAACTTCTTTGTGCTCATTTAGAGCAAGGCCTTTCATAATTAGTTTTTATGAGTTTTATATAATGAAAAACTTTTTTAAAGTCCGTGTAAAAAAAATCCATTCATTTTGATCAGAAATCTGAAAATCATGAATGATCTGGAGAAGAGTCACATCGTGGTGAAATGACTTCCCAAGCTCAGGCTGAGCCATTCTGGTCCTGCTTTTGCTCTGACACTTGGCCCACAGTCAAGAAGCTCACACCAGGCAACTGCAACTTCATAGGTGGACTTCTGCCGCTTGATTTGAAGTAGAAAGAAAAGCGTGGTCCTTCCTAAATCCTGCTCTAATTTTGAAATGAAAATAAAATATAAGAATCTCTTTGCAAAGTGTGCCTAAATTGAAGGCTATGCCTGTAGTTCCTCAGCCTCTCAGCACACAATTACACAACGTCGATGTGAAAAGACAATTATGGCTCCACCAATTCCTTGCAATTTAAATAAGTAAATACTACTTCTCCAGTGTAGGTGATGCTCCTTACTATTACTTCCACAGTCAATTTTGTTATCTTTATTAGTAAGCCTAATAAACACAGTACCAAGACTAAACAATCCAGTAAAACAGGATTACTCCAGTCACCTACTGGTTGCATACAAACGTGTAGGAGTTTGGATTACTTCCCTCTCGCTAAGAAAAAGCAATGACAATGAAAAGAACCAAAAAAAAAATCACTTGAAAAAAAGCAGCATCACCCATCCCTCGACTACTAAAAAAACCCCTCAGTTTTCATTGATGTCATTTGTGAGGTACTCAGAAAAACCAAGGAAGAAGTGCTGTGTTCTTGGTTCAGCATGATTTTCAAAATCTTTACCTTGGAAGTTTTGTATAATTATCCTTGAAATAGAGTATTTTGAAGGAGTTCCACAACATACGGGAAGTGGAATAATGCCTATCATTTCAGTTGGCATTTTGTGGAAGTTGTACATCTTTAGATATCGGATAAGCCTCTCCCTCCCTTCCACTCCGTGCTTAGATCAAGATCATTACAATTTTCTCCCACCCAATGCCCTAAAACAAAACATAAATGCCATTACCATCAATCTCAACAAGCTCTGTATGACAACTAACATTAACAAAACGACCTGCTCCAGTTAGATTTTCATTAGTAAATTAGGATGGAAAATAGTGAGTGGCACAGCTTAGCCAATTTGAACAAATTATCTACGTCATCTTTCAGGGTGTCAGTCGATACCTATGGCTGAGCAAGGAAACTCAGCAATTTGGGATCCAGTACAAGACATCATTAAGCACAAAGCCAACATCCTTTTTTTTCACCCCTGAATTAAGCTAAAGCAAGCATTCTTTACAGGTAACAGAAAAGTTTGCAAGTTTGGGTCCTGGTAGATAGCAAACTATCCATGAGCCAGCGATGGGCCCTGGTGGCCCTTGGCCAGTGGGGTCCCGGGCTGCGTAGGGAAGAGTGTGGCCAGTGGGTGGAGGGAGGTCATTCTCCCCCTCTGCTCGGCACTGGGGAGGCCACAACTGGGATTCTGTGTCCAGTTCTGGGCTCCCCAGTTCCAGAGAGACAGAGAACTGCTGGAGAGAGTCCAGCGTAGGGCAACCAAGATGATGGAGGGATTGGAGAGAGTCCAGCATAGGGCAACAAAGATGATGGAGGGGTTGGAGCATCTCCCTGAGGAGGAAAGGCTGAGAGAGCTGGGACTCTTCAGCCTGGAGAAGAGACGGTTGAGGGGAGACCTTATTAATGCTGACAACTGTCTAAAGGGTGGGTTGAAGGAGGATGGAGCCGGACTCTTTTCAGTGGTTCCCAGTGACAGGACGAGGGGCAACGGGCACAAGTTGGAACATGGGAAGTTCCACTCAAATCTGAGGAAAAATTTCTTTTGGGTGAGGGTGGCAGAGCCCTGGAACAGGCTGCCCAGAGAGGGTGTGGAGTCCCCTTCTCTGGAGATCTTCAACACCCGCCTGGATGCCGTCCTGAGTGATGTGCTTTGGGCAACCCTGCTTCACCAGGGGAGTTGGACCAGATGATCTCTAGTGGTTTCTTCCAACTCTGACAATTCTGTGATTCCATGATTTGGCTGCTGCAGAGAACGTGCCTGCAAAGCCCCAGAGCACGGACTTACACACCAAATCCCAGCACGTCATACTCCCATGTGCAAACACACAGCCCCAGCCCAGGCCTGCAGTTCTTTCTGCTGAGGATTAAAGGGTTTGACCACACTGGTGAAGGAGGAGACAGCCACAAGACAAGTAGCAGAGTATGTGCCAGTTTCTCAAACAGTCCAGGACATCACCCGTGTCACTTCATGTTTTCTACTGAGCTGCAGAAAAGCCTCCAGACATCTGTTTTCTACCAATGGACAGTGCTGAATACAGCAAGCCCCTCCATGCCACATCCTCGTGCTCAGATATATTTTTTTTAAACAATTCTTCTCAAAGAGACACTAAATTTTCACTGATTTATAACTTGCGAAATACAGGAAGGAAGGAAGGGTGTGCCCCCCTGCCCCATTTTCACTGATTTATAACTTGTGAAATACAGGAAGGAAGGAAGGAAGGGTGTGCCCCCCTGCCCCACAATGCACTCAACCTGCCAGGCTTCATCTCTTGGCAGAGGAAGAGGATGTTCACGCCGTGGCAGTGGGTGAGGAACGGTCCCATCGCACCGCTTAATCCCACCCCAGGATGGCATTTGGCTGCTCTTGATGCCCTCTCCACACTTCAGACTTGTTATTCGGTTAGAAAGTACAACTGGAACCAGAATGCTTTTGTTTAAGCTCTCCACTATTTAAATCCACCTGCTGTAAACCCCTAATTTGTGGGGAGGGAAGGGAGGTTGCAGAAAAAGGAGAGCAGCCTTTTTGTCTCTGGCCTTTGTTCACGCCACAGTGAGGACCTTGTAAAAATTGCAAAAATGCAAACCTTGAGAAGACAGCTGTGTGGGGGGAAAAATCCGCTAGGTAAAAACTGCTTTGCTCATCCCCTTGCAAGGCACAGAGCTTGATTTCCCTTAATGGCTAATGATTAATGTATGAAAACAGGATGAATAGCCAATATATCTGAAACATGAGGAACATGATCCTTCAGGTTTTCCTGGAAAGGCCAATTTGGCTTAGAAAGAAGATAGAATTTTCCTGTCCCTGGATCAAAATTGATCTGTTCCAATATGAAAGACAAAGGGGAGACGCTGTACGGTCTTTGAACAGGTTTCTTCATCAGAAGTGAGGAGGAGAATGAGTTCCACCAAACTGAACACAAAAATGTATTTTAAAAACTGAATGCTTACTGCTTCACCACACTGCACTCATCAGTCGATAGCGCTGTCGGGTCATTAATAACCAATGCTCAACCATTACCCAAGAACAACACAGATATCGTTACGCACTTACAGGGTGAAAATTTTATGATAGCCAAGTCTTAAGAACAGCCTGCCTACAGTAGAAGTGCTCTGCAAGCTCTCATCTGCTGGCCCCTCTCAACAGAAAGCAGCCAGACGCTGGAGCAGAAAGTTTGCTTACGCTACATGCATAAAAACAACCGTCTCTTGAACACTTGCCTATGGAATAAAAAGCAGAATATTCCAGGATCTATCATCATGTCAACTCAGATCACTGACGAAGCACGGCTACAATGAGGGTGTGTGAGGAGCATTTGTTAGTAAGAGAACCAAAGTGTCTCTACCATATGATAAAGCAGCAGAAACCCTACCTGCACATTTTGTCCTGGTTGTGAGCGGTGGTCCAGGGGGCCCTGTGCCTCCTTCTCCGGGGCGTGTGAGCAGCACTCGGATCTCATACTCCACGTCAGGATCCAAATGCCACAGTTTGTAATTAGGAGAGTCTACAATGTGCGTTTCTGCCCAGTTCCCAGTGGTCGTCCGATACTCCACCTCTTTCAGGATGATGGGCCCGTCTCCGATGATGGAGTTGGCGTTGGGTTTGATCCACAGGTAGGTGGCTCCGACAGCCAGCAGCTCCGGAGGGGCGATAGGGGTTGGGGGTTCTGTAGACAAAAAGAAATCATGAGAGGCCTGAGACAATTTTGTCAAAAGGATCAAATTTCCACTGTTTAGCAACGCTGTCCCAACATCTTTTGTGGCACAGGCACAGTCTCTCCTGCCATTTACCAAATCTTTCATAATAATTTAATCTGTATTTAAGCTGTTACTGAAAGAATTCGGCTTCTTTTATTTACACTAATACTTCACCCCCCTCACACCGGGGTAGTATTACTGATCCACAAACACCTGCAAAAATACAGTAACCACAAAGCAACTTCTGTTTAAAATATAAATACAAAAGTCGCTTTCAAAGATCAGAAGGTTTATACTTATTTTCTCCTTTAAGCTTATGAGCAATAGCAGTTAATATCATCTTGGAGGATGAGGGGGGAAAGAAATCTTAAATGAAGAAGACCGAGTGCGCTCAGCACACACCTTTTGTGAAAAGGCTCTGGTACAAAAGCTGTTCTTCTGCCCTGTGACCCCACGTGGCAGAACGTCACAGCCATCAGTCATGGTACCGTGGGGCAGCCAAAGCATAACGCTTAACAGGACACAATCAGCAGTGAGTGAACAACTCAAATCACTTGCTCACTGTGTGATTTTACCAAGCCAAATAAAGACTAAAAATAAGATATTTTTTTTTAATCCAATCACTACTGGCTGGCTGGGAAAATATTAGCAAATTTAAACAGTAGGGACCTTCCCATGGCCAATGATAGCAGTACTCTGGATGCTGCTAGAACTGACTCTAACCAGGGCCCTTGGTAGCTCAGAACTAAGAAAAGCTCTAAGGCACCAGTGAATCAACACCTCCTGTCAAGTCTCACTGCAAAGTTTGCTTAACTCTTCCTTAGCTAAGGTGCTTGAGCACAGGACTTGGTGAGTGCTGAGATGTCTGAAAAGCACCATGAGGAGGCAGGAACCCGGCCACCAAATATCACCTCTGAGATAAAAAGAAAAGCAAGGCAATCAAAGACATCTCAGCAGCACCCTTTGATGGAAACTACAAAAAAAGTCTACAGGGCTCTGCCTGCCTGATTTTTATCCCCCCCCCCCCTCCATCAGTGTATAAATAACACTCACATATTGGAAGCTGCATGAATAGCATATGCCTTGTGGTTTTGAAAACCTGAGCTGAACTGTGCAAGATTATGAGCAATTTCTTTAATCTCATCTTGCTTTCCCTCTGTCACACTCTAACGTGATTTGCCCTCAGCCCAGAGGACACAAACTCTATTCTCTTGTGAAAATAAGGTAACATAAAGGGCACCTCTGTCTCAGAAAAAGAAACCTATAAATGATACAGCCTGCCATTCATTTTAGAGTTCTGTGGGAGTAATTCTAAACCCCTCTTAAAAGTGATTCCTCAAAACCCCAGAGAACTGGAAGACTCCAGGACCCCCAGAAACGTGGAAGAAAGGAGTGTGAGCAGCACATGTTGGGAGGAAGATGGGACTCTCCCCTCTGGAGAAGTCTTGCAGGTTAACATCTGCTCAGCGAAGAGAAACAAACGCACAGAAACCATTATTATACCAAATGATCAACTGAAATGTTACTTAATTTCATTTCCTCTGGCTAACTAATTACAACGAACCATGCTATCTCCTTGAGATCGACTGCAGCAGTTGTGCATCGTACCTCTGGAAAAATAAAAAAAGCAATTTGAATTTTAATTGTAGCAGGTATCCAACAGGAACAAAAAATAGTATCATGAGCTAAGTCTTTTGTGGAATGTTTGTTTCTGCTTTTATTTTGCACTGTTCCCCTAACTCCTGCCACAATCTTTTTCAGATATGAAATGTCAGACTGATTATGCTTTGACTCAGGTTACTTCTCCAAGAAATTTGCCTTCAAGAAATGCGTGTAGACACGTTTTCATTTAAAAAGTCAAATTATTAGAAATCACAGTTTATTACTTGTTTCTTGGTGCAAGACAATTAAAAGATAGACTTAGTGATTTTTATTCCCAAGGCAAAAATGACATCTTACAAGTCACATCATAGCCGAACATAAGACAAATGAAATATTAAACTCCATTCTCCTGGGCTGGAGTCTTCAATAGCAACACGATCCACGTTACTCTGGGATTTGATTGCAAGATAGAAGACATTTACAGGACTGAGCTTAATTAATAGAGCAGTTTGTCCTGCTAAACAGACATGAAAGTCTTGTCTAGCAAGCTTACAAACTACTATTGCCAATCTGATTTAAGCTGACACCCAGCTTTACTGTCTTCTCTCCTTATTTTAGGCCAAATCTAAACACACACACACCCCCAAAAATAAGTAATGGTGGTTTTCCCTTTCTTCTCCCCTGTTAATTTTTCCCTAAGTACCAAATGAAAAACAGTTGCCACAGAATATCAGAAAATTAGGAGTTTAAACTGTTGCTGCGATTTTCCCAATTTAAGGAATTAAGGTAAACAGCCTTTATAGCAGTTATTCAAGGCCCAATCTCACTCGCTGAAAATAATGAGTTCTTTCCTACTGGCACCAACTGGACAAAACGCAGGTTTTTAAATATCACTCTGTGCCAAATAACTGTGGATGATCTAAACAAGTTACCCTTTATTTAGCAAAACCAGCACATAAATAAGGCCCATTTTTTTGCCCTTTGTAACTAAACACACTTGTCAGTTCCAGATGACCAGCCTGATGTTATGAGCTCACTATTTTTTAATTAAAATCTCCGTGTGATCTTGATTAAATAAACTTGGTGACAGATTGGCCTTGTACACCCATAATTGTGATCACCCATATTTAAAGGCCCATTTGGTCCTGCCAGTCGTTTATATTGCAGGCTTTGTCCAGCCCGTTGCTCCCTTTCAGCCACTGTCCCTCCTCCTGTGGGCACAGAGGAGAAAGCCACAGGCTCCCCAGGAACAGGGACACTGGGAAACCAGATCACTCCAACTGGGACAGTATCTAGCCTGAATCCCAGACTTGGGAAGAACACAGAAAAACAGGCCTCCCAGGTGCCCTCTTTCAAGGAAACAGAAGACAGACATAGCACAGGCTCAAAAAGGGAGTTCCTGAACACAAGTAGATTTTACTGTAAGTGCTAACCAGGTGCCCTTGGGCAGCCACCAAGGGAAGCTGGGCTGAGCTCTTCACCTCCCATCAGAAGAGGCAATAAAGCTGTGGTCCACAGCTGGGAAGGCTCAACACTGTTAGGGCTTTAAAATGACAGAAAGTTTAGTAGTGCAAAGAGTGGGAGAGAACAAAACTAACGAGAAGGACCAAAAAAGACCAAATAGAATCAGAGAATCTCTCAAGTTGGAAGGGACCCATAAGGACCATCAAGTCCAACTCCTCACAGGACTACCTAAAACTAAACTGTAATATCAAGAGCATTGTCCAGATGGTCCTTGAACTCTGACAGGCTTGGTGCCATGAATACTATACTTTCTAACTACTGTGGAAAACACATATATTTTACTCTTTAGCAACTGTTCTTAAGTTTTTCTGCTCTACTACTGGAATATTTCTCTGTGTGACTTTCTTAGAAAGGCAATTCTAAGATGATAGAAGAACAACAACTCCATGCATCCTTCAGAAGCAACTGGGAAGACTGAAACATGAGAGAGAAATCCCCATCAACTGTTTTCTGTGAAATAATCCATAAGAAAAAGGAATTATAAAAATTTTCATTTAAAACATGGATAAACTGCTTAAGCTATGGATTTTTTATGAATGAAGCTTTAATTCTTGAAAATTCCTTCCTTGTTCATAAGACCATCTGATAAAATGCCCAACCAAGATGACCATGAGCTCTCATTTGCATTTGTTGGCTTATGGATGGTTTCAGACAAAAAAGAACCCGTAACTCTACATAACACCAGCGTATCGCCAAGTTCAACAATTCTGTGTCTGAAGTGCTAATCCATACCTTTATTTGGTTACTGAATAAGCACGCCAACATGTGAAGTTCCTAATACAGCTCCCTCAAGCACTGAAATGAGCTCTCAATTTAGGACTGAAGAGAACCAAAAGCTAAAGGCTGGACCCAGAAAAAGCTGAAACGCGGGTTAAATTGAGGAGGAAAGAAGGTTTGTGTCTGGCTGGGCCATCCAGTTTGTACCATTCACATCGGCTGATGACCCTGCAGGTCCTTCCAGCACATCGGTGGTGTGTGCCCCGTGCACAGCCAGAGCTCCAGAGCAGCAGGAAGGTGACTGGAACACACACAGAGCCCTGGCTTGTCTTCTCCCACGTGCGCAACACAGGTTCGAAAAATCCCATCAGAACAGACAGTGGGTTTTATTCTTTGGGGGTTGAAGAGGTGGGGATGGGAGCTGCTATCCAAAGATAGTTGCCTGACAGCCAAGATCTGTGTTTTCAAACATGATACTGCTTATTCCCCTACTAATGGGAATTGTAAGCTTTTCTCCCAGTGCCCTGAAGGAGCAGCTGCGGACTGTGCTTTGCCAAACGGATAAGGATGGGACTGGAAGGCAAGGAAACCGGATTTCAAGCTTCTCAGAACTTTTTTAAACAAACATTTCAGAGCAAAACATATTTGTATAGTTTTCTACACAATAGTCACAGCCTGTTACAATTTAAAAGCTGTTGAGAATATAGATACTTTAATTTGCATTTAAGAAGGCAAGCTCTGCTCTTTTAGGAAAAAAAACAGAATCACGTTAAAGTGCCCGTGTTCTGATTTCTTGCCTCTCCACCCTTTAGGCTGAATTTGTCACCTTTGCACGACTGTTTTGCACACCTTCTTGCTGGCTGTTAGAGATTCACTTGACTGAGCAGCATCCATGAGTCCCCTTCCCAGCTTTACCCTGTAGCAATAAGGAGCCTGAGCTCTGAATGACAGGATTTATATTGGTGTTGCTTATTAGCACACTTTCCACCGCGCTAATAAATGCAGCAGCTGAATTTTGTTTTCCAGTGATTGTCCGCACTTCCAGTTCCATTTATTGCACAAAGAAACAGCACAAAGATTTTACAATATTTAGCATGAGACTATTTCACTGGGCTGACACTGTACT